AACCTAAAATCTCAAAGATCTAGCTACTTAAGCTCCTAAAGTGAGTCAAAATAACTTTATATAATAGAGTTATCAATAACACGATCAAGTGATAGCCTGTAAACAATTCGCAAAGGAATTCTTGCTTTTTAGTGGGAAGCAATAACTCTTATATAATCCACATAGGGATTCTTGCTTTTTAATTGAAAGTATAACCCGTACACTAACTTTTCAAGTTTAAGTTAGAACTTTTACAAGAAATAACAAGAGTGCGTATAATAGGTAGATTTTTTAAGTTTAGTGTAACAACCAACTCACATGGCCGTTACCAGTGCGCAAGTCATGAACACAAGCCTACATAAACCGGCTAGCCTTTTGAGCATTTTATTCCGCCTATGTTTATTTTCCTCACATTTTCATTTCTACACCAATTAAGTTTGTCAATCATCAATATCGTTATCTCATCCATAACTCATATTGAAATAATAATGTCTCAATAATAGTTCACGTGTTTCGATAACATAACTCCACACCATTAAATTCATAATATTTAAAGATCTTAGTCTTAAAATAATCCTAAACACATCATTCATTACAATTTTAAAATGACTCAATGACTAGACAGTGGAGCAACGCGAAGAGAGCTAGGAGATGCCATTACCTACACGGTTGCAAGGGATTCCTCGCCAATGATGTCCCCAACTATCTGTTTATCTGCACATTAAACAACGTGGGTGAGTCTCACAGACTCAGTGATCATCGGCTCCGTGAGCAGGTGGGGAGGGGAAACAAACATAAGGATGGAATATTTGTAAATCAAAGAGTAAGCATAGAAAACATACTCCATTAATTTGAAAGATTTTTATACCTTGCAAGTCTTAAGAATAATGAATCAAGTAAACACATATGAAAATTGTTATATTTAGCATGCCAGAAAATCTTTCAACTTCAATATTCTTTCAACAGTAAATTCAATGCAAGTGTAAAATGACGTCTTAAGCATAAAAATGCAAAATAACTAGTCACTTATAAATACATAAATTCCACTTACCATTTAATTAAAAATTCTTTTTTTTAAGTGTTAATGTCGTGCCATGTATATTATCTTCAAGTAAGCATGATCCTCGGGTAGGTTTAGCATAGCCCTTAGGCTTACTCTCTTAGACACCATCACCTACTCGTGGGAATTGCCCATGCCACCATATATAAATTGGGGCTTCAGGTCCCCCTTTACCTACTCGTGGGAACTGCCCACACCACCTAATATGAATTGGGGCTTTAGGTCCCCTTTTTTCCTACTCGTGGGAACTGCCCACGCCACGCAATATAAATCGGGGCTTCAGGTCCCCCTTTTTCAATCAAATATCAATAATCAACAATCACACTTTGTGCACAAAGATCACACTTAGCCTGGTGTGGTAACAGGTCTTACCCTCGAGTATCTCAATCACGTTAAAAATGAAATCCATTTCCATTTAATGCATTTGCAAAACATGATAGATAAAAAACAATATAGTCATAAAACGAATATCATGCATAATTTATTTCGAGGCATGGCATATCCATCAAATTAGCATGCTAAGTTAAATCAATAATTTATCATCAAATCCCATGAATCAAGTAATGGCCATTGGCCTAAACATCAGACAAGCTTGCAAGGCATGATTTTGAAGTGAAAAATCAATCAAAGGTTTGTTTCCCCATAATAAAAAAAACATGTAGATATATACTTATATGCGATATAGAGAAAAATGGATTTGAAATCCTGCTACAATCACAAACAACATAGGGCTTCTTCACAGCTATGCTTTCCACAATTTCGTCAATATCAAATATAACATATTTATTATTTATAGGAATATAGCTTTGAAATTTAGCACCCACTCACCTCAGTTGTTGGGATTTCTCTCCAATACTTATCCTTTAAGTCTTACCTTAATTTTGTTTCAACTCTGCCACAGAGTTTAGCATTTTTCAAACTAGCATCATTATCCTAGCTTCCATGGGTTCAATGCCTCAAATTTTGTGGAATTTTTGCAGCTATCAAAGTGCCATTTCAACAGTCCCTAACAACCCATATTTGGCATTCATCAAAAATTTTTTTTTCTAACATTAAGTGCTTAATACACAAAAGCAATAGAATTTGTACCCAATGTTCAATTAAATTTTTATTTCTCAAACTTTGCTGCAGCATTCATATATCACATTATAATCCATACTATCAAGGCTCCTCTACTCAACCTATAGCCAATTAATATAAATCACCCAAAGATAAGCCCATGAACTCACCGTAGTTGATTTAGCCCTTCAAAACTAAACTTCCAGCATCTTTCAACCCTCAATATCAAATTTGCCATAAAGAATTTCAAATGTCATTAACCCTTTGAACTTGGATCCAATGCCCACATGAAAGAACTTCTTACCTATATAATAAATTTCCAGCCTTGAATTATAATTTGGGAACCCTTCAAAAATGGTTAGATATGCTGTATTTGGTGCCTAAATGAGCAGATTAAGACTCACCCTTTTTTAACTGGAAGCTTAGCCGCCATTCTCCTTCCTTCAACCTCCTGTATTTTTTTCTCAAGAAGTGATTTAGATGCAGATTTGATACTCTTCAATGGCCAAGAAACTCAGGTTTAAAGGCTAATAGCTAGAGCCAAGGCTGGCATTGAGGCAGATTCTCCTATGAGAATAGTATATGCCGACTTTCTTCACAACGGATATCCAATTCTTTTCTCTCTTTTTTTTTCTTATTTTTTTTTTGTTTAGTAGAGAAAAGAAAGTAAAGCTGCTCAATGCATCTTAAAACCAAGCAAAATTTCCCATGTATGAAGCTTTGGGTATAACTCAATTTTTCTGCCTTCCTCCAACAGATTTCTTTTTGGTGTGTTAAATCCCATCACATGGTGGGGAACCCATATGTCCCCCACCAACCCATATTTGTTGGGTTGAACGGTTTCCTGATGGATATTACCCCATGGTTTCATGCTTTAGTCCAATTATATATTTATTAATCCTTGTAAATGGTTTATTTGTGCAAAGACTCCCCCACTTCAACTAATTTAAGTTTCATCTCTTTACTTATTATTTCCTTACAATTAAATCCTCCAACTACTTCTTTAATTTAAATATTCTTCTATTATTCCTCCTTAACTCATATACAATTAAGGTATCAAATTCACATCCCAAAAAATTATGTCCATAATATTTAAATATATATCTACGCTTATACCTTATTTACTAACGACACATGGATTGCCAACAATGCTTCGTTCTTTAAAACTCTTCTCAGTCTCCCCCACTTTGACCAAACTTAACTCCTCAAAATCGTCTTCCAACATTATACCATCTTGTTACTTAACGTAAAATTTAATATTATTTATTTATTTGCATATTATTAAAATATTAGTTTACTTCCCATGT